TAAATATTTGCTAGTGGGTTATTGGTCAACTCCGATGATTCCGTGCTCCGGAGTGACCCGTGGTGGTGCTCAGGGAAATATATGTAGTATTGAGGATTCTTAACTGGCCTGCAAGATGCAGAACAAGTGTCTTAATCCCTGTATTTTTTCTCTAGAGCTCTCAAGTTTTACTCTTTTATAATTATTATAAAAAAAACTTTACAATTTTTCATTTTCTGGGGGAGAGGGGGCTTGGGGCTATACCCAGCAGTGCTCAGGGCCTCTCTAGCTCTGCGCTCAGGGATCACTCCCTGGTGGGGCAAAGGGGACCATATGTGTTACAGGCTTCCATTTGGGATCATCACATGCAAGGCAAGGACCTTACTCCTCTGCTATCTCTCTGAACCCAAGTTTTGACCTTTTTTTTTCTTTTTGGGTCACACCCGGCGATACACAGGGGTTACTCCTGGCTATGCTCAGGGGACCATATGGGATGCTGGGAATCGAACCCGGGTCAGCTGTGTGCAAGGCAAATGCCCTACCCGCTGTGCTATCACTCCAGCCCCAAGTTTTGACATTTTTTAAGTTGTCTAAAGCTGATCAAAGTTAGGGAATGCTAAGTGATTTTGCTTCTCATCATATATTTCACAAATACAAAACTGTATTAGGAGGGTTCCAAAAGGGTAGTACAGTGGGTAGGGGTAGGGTAGGGTGGGGTACTTACTTTAGATATGAACAACCCAGATTTGATCCCCCATACCCACCCCTGGTACCCCATGTGGTTCCCCAAACCTGCCTGTGTTCACTCCTGTATTAGGAGTGATCCCTAACACAGACCCAGGAGTAAGCCCTGAGCACTTATAGGTGTGGCACCCTACTACCCTACAAAAAAAATGCTTATTAGAAAAGAAAAGATATATGTGTCTGTATTTTGGGCAGTGTATTTGGGCATCTGGAAGCAACCCAAATGCCCAGATACAGTTGAGTAGATAAAAAAAATGAGGTATGGACCGAAGTGATAGTTCAGGGACATGGCTGACCCAGATTGACCCCTGTCATCCCATATGGTCCCCTGAGCACCACCAGGAGTAATTCCTGAGTGCAGAGCCAGCAATAACCCCTGGATATCACCAGGTGTGACCCCAAAAAGCTAAAAGAAGAAGAAGAAAACTAAAGGGGCCAGAGAGATAGTACAGCAGGTAAAGAGCACTTGCCCTGCACACAGCTGACCCTGGGTCAGTTGCTTTTTCCTAGAACTGCATATGGTTCCTCATATAGAGTGAGGAAGGAAAGAACAATGGAAGGAAGGAAAGAAGGATGGAAGGAAGGAAAGAAGGATGGAGGGAAGGAAGGAAAGAAAGAAGGATGGAAGGAAGGAAGGATGGAAGGAAGGAAGGAAGGCAGGCAGGCTTGAACATTTATGACAGCAATTGAAGTGACCAAGGGGTGGGGAGATGAGGGGTGGAAAGGGATAAGACATATAACCAGACAACATTAACCCTACCGTGAAAGAGTTTAAAAAGCGTAGCACTGAGGAGAAGCACCACATCACATGTTGTAGTCTTGAAGGCCCTTTAGTACCACTAGGCAACCCTGGTGTCTCTGACCAAGTAGGTATCGCAGGACCCTCGAAGCACCACACCCTCCGGACCTAACACTGAACTGCTGACCTAATCCCTGGGAGTGGTCACTGAACTCTGTGAGCACCAATCGAGAACTCCTCTCGGCCTCAAAAAAGGCTAGGGAGGGCCAGAGCAGTAGTCCAGCATGCAGGGTGTTTGCCTTGCCCACAATCAATCTGGGTTTGATCCCCACCATCCCATATCATCCGGAGTCCACAGGAGTGATCGGTGCACTCCAGATGTCAACCTGGTATTGCATACAGTACCTCCAGGAACAGTGTACCCCTTGGGGGGAAACAAATACATATCCAGGAGCAGTGCTGCAATTAGAGTAAGGCTAATTAGGCACTTGCTTTAGATCAGAAATGTTCAGGGGGTCAGATGCTCCAAAATTCGATGAGCATGCTAAGAATATTTACATGAGCATAGACCCAAGAGTAAGCCCTGCGTACTGCTGGGTGTGGCCCCCAAACAAACAAAACTTGTAATACACTTTTATTTTTGTTTTTTAGTATTCTCCCCTACCCCCCTCCCACACACACACACACACACACACACACACACACACACACACACACTTTATTTTATTAAAGCACCATGATTTACAAAGTGATTCACAGTTGGCTTTTAGGTACACAAAGTTCCGTCACGGATCCTGCCACCAGTGTTTACATCCCTCCACCAGTCCTACTCCCTCCCCAGCTAGCCATCTTGACAGGCACCTTTTAAAGTTATTAAAGTTCGAGTCTCCTGATTTCAGTGTTGTTGACTGTGTGGTTTGGATATTTAGCTCTATCAGTCCTTAACACCACCGATGTACCTTGAGCCTTGGGCCTGTTGTTTCTCAGCTGTCTCTTCTCCCTCACCCCGCCCCCACTAGCTCTCTTTGGTTAATACACATTTTTATATTTTTTATTTGAGGTAATATGAATATACATATAGGCTTTTTGGGTCACACCAGGCGATGCACAGGGGTTATTCCTGGCTTTTCATTCAAGAATTACTCCTGGCAATACTCAGGGGACCATATGGGATGCTAGGAATCGAATCTGGGTCGGTCGTGTGCAAGGCAAATGCCCTACCCACTGTACTATTGCTCCAGCCCCGAAAATAATATTTTAAACAAAAAATTAGAGATAAGGGCCAAAGTCAAAAGTACAGTGAGCAGGGTGCTTGTCTTACACATGGCCTGGGTTTCATCACCAGCACCACATACAACCCAACCAGGAGTCATGCCTGAGTTCAGAGTCAGTAGTAAGTTCTAAGCTTGCTTGGTGTGGTCCAAAACAAAAAACAAATCTGGGCTGAGAGATAGTGTAAAAAGTAAGGAACTTGTCTTGAATATAGTGACCCTGGTTCAATCTCCATCACTGCATATGTGGTCCCCTGAGCACTGCCAAGAAGGATCCCTGGGCATAGAACCAGAGCTGGGTATGATCAAATTCTATCTCCCAGAATAATTTTTCTTTGAGTGTGGAAGCAGGAATGAAGGTAGACTGGATCACATCCAGCAGAGCTCAGGGCTTACTCCTGGCTCTGGGTTCAGGAATCACACCTGGTAGGGCTTCTGTTTTGGGGGCCACACCTGCTTGGGTTCAAGGGCTACTCCCAACTCTGCTGGGAGCTGGAGGTTCTTTGGGGACCATGCAGGGCAAGGGATTAAGCCTGGGCCTACTGAATACAAAGCATTTCTCAGTTTATTGAGCCTCTCTCCACTTCAATGATGAATACATTTTAATAATGTTAATAATGGAGCTGTGCAGAATCATATTAGAGCCTAAGGTTAAAAAGAAAAATTGGCAATAGAGGATTTCTTGGATCCCCTTCTCTAGGCACATAAATTGCCTGAGAAAGTGGATGTGGATACTGTAAATGTAGATATGTTTTATTTATTTATTTTTTATTTATTTTGCTTTTTGGGTCACACCTGGCACTGCACAGGGGTTTCTTCTGGCTCTGCACTCAGGAATTACCCATGGCAGTGCTCAGGGGACCATATGGGAATGCTGGGAATCGAACCCGGGTCAGCCGTGTCCAAGGCAAACGCCCTACCTGCTGTGCAATAGCTGTGCATTTACAGGGGCTCCAGCCCCTGTAAATGTAGATATGTTTAAAAATGAATTTCCAGTTACTCAAACAGCACATGTAGTAGTCTACATATGAACCATACATAGTATAGACAATATATCGACTCAAATAGGCAGTCAGTAATGTATTTGACATTTTAATTTGCACATCTTCAATTCTGACTAAACAAACCACTGTCACAGCCAGTAAACTTGAACAGAGAGATCATTAACATTTTCCCACAAATCTTTAGCTCATTAGCCTGCCAGATTGGTAAATTCCAAGATTGATAAGGTCCAACAACAAATTTCAATTTGTTTTTCAGGCCACACCCAGTGGTGCTCAGGATTTAGTCCTGGTTCTAAACTCAGGGATTACTCTGAACAGTGACCAGGGATCGAACCCTGGTGGGTCACATATAAGGCAAGAGAATTGTACTTCCTCTCCATCCCCCCAGATTTCAATTTTTTAAAGACAAAATTGGATCCCCTTCTCTTCTGTGACTTGGGATAGCCTTGTCTATCCCAAATAGATAAGGGAAATCTATTTGGGATATCCCTTATAAGATATAAGAATGGGAGGATGATATCTAAAACTCCTAACATGATGATACCTAAAACCCCTAATTGCTTAGGGGCACGTAGGGCGCTTGCCTTGAACCAGGTGGATCACGGTTCGCTCATTAGTATCCCATATGGTCCCCCTAGCACCACCAGAAATAATTCCTGAGCATTGAGACAGGAGTAACCCCAAACTCAGTCGGCCAAAAACCAAAATAAAAATTAAAAAGACACACAAAAAAATTCCATTTATAAAAAGATCTCTTGGTGGGCCCGAAAGACAGTACATCGGGTAAGACATTTATCCTACACATGGCCCACCTGGGCTTGGCTCCCTGATACCACCGGGGTCCCTGAGCATCGACAGGATGGATTCCTGAGCACAGATCCAGGAGCGCTGAACACCCTTCGGTGGGTGTGGCCACAACCCCCACCTTCCCCCCTCCTGCAACCTGGAACTAGACCGGTTACATGGAGACACTCAGAAGTGCAGCCATCCAGGCCAGAAAAACCGGTGGCCTGGGTCACTGCGGTCGGTCGCATGGAAGCGGACACTGGGCCTGCGGGAGCTCAGCAGGCGCCGGTCAGAAGGTGTATTTCCCTTTAAGACTCAGGCCGCGGGGGCGGGGCGGAGTCGCCGCGGGAGAGCCGAGCGCCGGAGCCCGAGGCGGGAAGACCCGCCCCGGCGGAGTGCGCGCGCGCCGTTCCGGGGCGGGGCTTGGGGGAGCCCGCATGGCTGGCGTGGGCCCCGGATGAGGAAGTGCGGGGACACCATAGAGACGAAGAGGCGGCGGCGGCCGGAGCGCCCCCCGAGCTCTCCGGGCGCTCAGGTAGAGTTGGCGGCGACCGGGCTGCAGCGGCGGAGGCCGGGCTGCTGGGGCGAGCGCGGGCCGCAGGGAAGGCCTCCGGGTAAGAGGCCGAGGGCGCGGAGGCCGAGGGCGGCGCCGCTCCGCCCCATCCACCCCGCGGGAACGCTCGGCGCGGCGAGCCGAGGCGAGCGGGGGAGCCCGTCCCCTTCAGCCCGCGGACCCGCTCCGAGGCTGAGCTTGCGGGGCTTGCACCGCGACCCGGGGACAGGGGTCGGAGCAGATCCCGCGTCGCGAGGGGGAAACGACTTCCCCGAGTCACGGCTTCGATGGGGGGTGGGGGGGGCTCGATCCCTCTCTACGGTCTCGGTACGGAGGAGGACCCCCAAGTTTCCTCCGGGAGGACGACGCCCCTGGTCGCGGGCGCCCGCTTTCCCTCAGTTCGCTGTGTCTGTAAGCAGAAGGAGAACCGTTCCCGGGGCGTGCGAGGGCGATTCTGGATTTAATTTAAGGAGGGATGAGCTAACCCCGAAGCGAAATCTTCTCCTTCCTCCCCCACCCCCCCTTCCCACTTTTCCAATTTGGTCTGCGGTGCCCGGTGGCCGAGCGGGGCCAGGCTTGCTCCAAACCAAGGGGCACTCGAAGGGACTTCTCTACTTTTGTCAGTCTACCCTGGGAGGTGGAGGGGAAGGCTCTGGATGGACTTTACGGCATCCAGCGGCCTCCCCCTCCCCCTGCCGTGTCCTCCGAGGGCGCCTCGCGTCGCCTTCCCCCGGTCTGTGGCGTGCTGGGAGCTCCTTCCCTTGCACAACTGAGCTTGGAGTGCGATCGCCGCGAGCGGGCCTCCCTCTTCCCACCTTTGTGACCTTGACTAATTGTTTCACCTTTCTCGGTCGGTCCCAGTTACCCCTATTCTAATTAGGGGACTCTTTCCATAAACTTGTTAGGAGGCAAAGGAGGAAATTTGTAAGCACACTTGCTCAGTCAAGAATGGGTCGGTGGTTACTATTACCTACTGAGTTTTTTATTTCAAATCAACCCTGATATCATTTTTCATACTTTTCCCTTCTATTCCCACGCCCCTGTCATCGTCTCCTTAAAATATATATATATAAATCAGAAAGTACTTTTCCCCAAAAGTGCCTGTTCTAGTCACCCAATTAACAAAGAGGTCTTCGCGTGGAATAATCTGGAAGAAGAGTTGGCTTTGGGAAACTCTCTTTTGGGGTAGTCCGAGAGGGAGGGAGACCTGTGATTGCAGGATTGTGGAAGCCACTCTGCCTTTGTCCAGGGAAGCCATCTCTTCCCCACCAGCTAGAGAGGCCTTCTCCCACTCCCCCTACTTCTAGTGAAAGAAGGACTTCTGTCTGCACCTCCTTTGCCCTACTTCTTTCTCTTGCTCTCCCAAGCAAAATAAGACTAGACCTTGGAGGAGCCTGTACCTACCTTGCCTGCTATATGGAGAGGCCTAGATGGTGCCTTTTCTCTTCGTCTTCGGAGGAAGAAATCAAAAATGGCTCTTGCAGAGTCCTTGTCAGTTGAAATCTGCGTTTTCGACTTTAGTTTGGTCCCTATAGGGAAGACTGGGGGATTTTCCTACTTGCTCACAAAGGGAGCCAAGGCAATAGTGCTTGAATGCTTTGGAGTTCCTGCACTCTCCTGGGTGAAAAAGTTGGGCCCCTAAGTTTAGTGTATGGACTTTCCCACCCCGCCTCCCTGTTTGTCTCTGGGCTTGTTAGGGAGACTTACCTTCTATCTTTCCAGGAGAGCCACCTCCTCCAAATTCCCTTATGGAGGGATTGGCTCCAGTGTCTTGAGTCTTTGCAAAAGAAGAAAGCCCCTCTCTCAAGGTGAAAGGCGAGTTGGGAATTCATTGTATTGTCCCTTGACACAAGTGCGGCATTACGCAGTGTTATTCACTGCTCTTCTTCCTAAGAACAGTCCCTCTGCATTGTAATTAAAAGGGAGGGGAGAACTTTAGACTGGAATTATTGAGGCACAGAGTTTTCCGATCTGCTCTTTGTTTTTAATTGATTAAATGTGTAAGGTTTTTTTGTTCTTAGTGGTTGGCTTTGCTTTTTTTTTTTTTGGTGGTGGTGGGGAAATTAGCCTATCACTGTAAGCTTTGTTCAATCAGAACTTTTATTTTGGAGTGGCAAGGGAGCATTCAAACGGTTTCTACTATTATAGAATATCTTACCCAGTTAGGAACTGCAGTGGAAATGTTTCCATGGGAATTTTTTCTCTCTTCTTTCATGTTTTTGTTATCTAGTGGGATGGGAATGCCTACTGTCAGATTGGTTAAAGTAGAGTAGAGAATAGTGCTCACACCTTTTTTTTTTTTTTTTTTTTTTTTTTTTTTTTTTTTGGTAAAAGAGTTCTTAAGTTTTCTTTTCCAAGTTGGACCTTGAGTACTTGCTGTGGGGATTAGTTAGCGCCTGTAGGACTGTTGTTGATGTCAGTAGGTGTCGATTTGCTGGAAAAATCAAACTAGAGGTAATTGAGTCATGGGCCCAGAGAGCTAGTACAGTGGATAATACGCTTATTTACCTTGCTTGTGGCCAACCCAGGTTTGATCCCTGGAATCCTACATGGTCTCCTGAGCATCCCTGAATGTGTCCCCCTTCCTCACAAAATAAATAAATAAATAAGTGATCAGGTCATGAGATTTGGGAAGCTGGGAATGTAGCTCAGTAGTAGCTTGCCTTGCAAGTGTGAGGCCTTCTATGTGGGTCCCTAGCAGAGAGAGATGGGGAGGGGGAGAGGGAGAGAGAAAAGAAATCATGACATTTTTGCAGGAGATAAGACCTTTGGGATTGTGTTTAACTTGTTCCTTCACTTGTGAAAACAAGTCTAGGGAAATTAAGTGATAGCCTTTAGGCCATGGGAGTCAGGATAAGGACCTGGGGGGTGGTGTCCTGACCTGGGATTCCCAGCTAGACTACTTCCCAGCACCTCTTGACATTTGAAATAAAAAAGATGATGGGGTAATTATTCTCAATTCAAAAGAATTTTAATGTATGTTGGAATTATTTTACTTTTTTTCTTATAAAATTGTGCTTTTGTTATTGTGGGTTTTTTTTTTCTTTAGGCCACACCTAGCGATGCTCAGGGATGCTCAGGGATTACTCCTGGCACTACTCTGGGGTTGCCTGGAATTGAACCTGGGTCTGCAGCTCAGTGTGAAAGCAGTTGCCCTACCTGCTGTATTATTGCTCTAGCCCCTAATCCTTTCTTTTCCCAGGAATAAATCTATCCCCCAAGTAAGCTAATTCATTCTTTTGGTGGAAGGATGTCCATGTCCAGTGGTGCCCAGGGCTTACTTATTCCTGGCGCTGTGCTCAGTGATCACTCCTAGCAGTGCTCAGGAGGTGATAATGTAGTTTCAGGGATCGAACTGGGGTCAGTTGCATGCAAGGCAAGTGCCTTGCTGCCCCTGTACTATGTCTCCAACCCATCATCTAAGTCTTATGTTATAGAACAGATGACAGGCCAGTTGTATCTGCAAGGAATGCTTGTGGGTTGTTTTTTCGGTTTTGCTTATACCTCAGACTAGATACTTCTCTGTCCTTACTTGACAGGTTGCTTATAAATTGTTAGTAAGGATTAAGTTGGAAATCTGTGTTTATTGTTATAAGCACGTTTCTCTTTCCTCTTAGTTGGAAAAACACCTGGCTTATACCCTTTCAAATTTTTTTCCTTTTTTGCTTACATATGGTACCAAAATATTTAGTTTGGTGCAATTATTTCACTGTCCTCCCATTGTTCATCGATTTGCTCGAGCGGGCCCAGTAACGTCTCCATTGGAGATTTTGTTGTCACTGTGTTTGGCATATCGAATACGTCACGGGTAGCTTGCCAGGCTCTGCCATGCGGACAAGATACTCTCGGTAGCTTGCCGGGCTCTCCGAGAGGGGTGGAGGAATTGAACTCGGGTCGGCAATGTTGGTTGCGTGCAAGGCAAACGCCCTACCGCTGTGCTGTCGCTCCGCAGTTTTTTGGCGCAATAATCCGGGCAGATTTCTTTGAAGTGATGTATTTCTATACCATCATTTTTGGGGAGCTGATGCCTAGCAGCGCTGCACTCTGCATCCAACATGATCCTTGTGCTCAGGGCACCAGGCAGTGCTAGGAATCGCACTTGGGTCTCACGCCCTCAGAGCATTTGCTTCAGCACTTCAGAATGTGTATCTCCCTCACCCCTACACCATCATTTTTAATTGCTCTCAGAACTTCAGTTTTAAATATTCTGGTAAATCGATTAGTTGGTACATTCTTGTAGCATTACTGCTCTTCAGTAGGATTTTATTGTTACAGTCTAGGAAAGTTGAGGATGACTGTCTTGGTGCCACACTGAGCAGTTGTTGCGCATCACTCTCAAGCAGTGCTCTGGGGATCCGGGAGTGCTGGCTGTCAAACCCTCATGCGTGCACTCTCTAGCCTAGTTATCTTGCTGGCCCTCTGAGCTTGCATCCCCCCCCCCCCCCCGCCCCAACTCCAAAGAGTGGAGTTGAGGGGATCCTTATGTGGTGCTAAGGATTTGAACCAAGGTCATCGCTCCAGTCTCAAGCAGGACAAGCACCTTAACCTCTGTACTGTCTCTCTGGGCCCCAGGATTTGCATTACTATCACTTCATCTCTCAGGATCCAGCCAAGCACTCCACTGTTGTTGCGAATTCAGCTGCAGATACTGCTTAGAAACTTGAGCGCTCAGAATTAGGCAACCGAATGAACAGGGTCTCTTGCTTCAGCAGTCATTCTGCCTGTCTGTTTTTAAATTAAAAGTTCTTAGAACTTGTCTATTGAACAAGTATGTCAAAAGATGACTATACTTGGCCAGAGAGATAATATAGGGGGCTGGGTGGTTGCCTTGCATGGGGCTGACCTGGATTTATATCCTTGGTACCCTGTGTGGTCCCCCAAATTACTGGGGGTGATCCCTGAGCACCGCTGCATATGTCTTCCCCTCCCCCACCCTAAAAAAAGAATTGATGATATATCTGTGCTACTTGGCTTTTTCTAAGTTGGAAAGTTAACCACAACTTTAAAAATTGGGAGGCTGGAGCAATGGATAGTACAGTAGGTACTTTGCACAAAGTCAAC